CTGGCAGGGTATTGGGGGTGGGGGGGATTATGGGGGCCCCTGGCAGGTTCTTCAGGTGGATCTGATTGCATGTTCTCTTCCTCAGGATAAAGATGCCAAATTCCGTCTGATTCTCATTGAGAGCCGAATCCACAGACTCGCTCGTTACTACAAGACCAGGAGAGTCCTCCCGCCCACCTGGAAGTAGTAAGTGTCCCGCCCACAAGGGTATAATGGGCACAGCGGGTGTACAGACCCGGGAACTCAGCACAGGGATGGTGGGGGCCCCTCATAATGGGCACAGCAGGAATGTGTGACCACCAATAGGTGAAGCTTTCTCAGCTGTTCCGGGGCAGATGGGCATCGTATGTGCAGGAGAACCGATCTGCCCCGGAACAGCTGAGAAAGCTTCACCTATTGGCGGTCGCACATTCCACCGCCAAAAAACTGGGCGGGATTACATTGAAATGTGTGACCACGTCACTGGTCACAAATTCTAACGTAGTCTCAAACTTTGATAGATCACATGCCTATCTGTAATCATTTAATCAGAGAAATAGATTATAATAGGGAACATTATGGGTAGTGCCGGTACCCGTGTGGGGGGGCCTCTTACATGAGTGTCAGCTGCACCAGGGGCAGCATGGCAGAGGGGGAGGGGGTGGAGGAGGCCGGGCCCCTGCAGCAGGTAAGAGGATGTCCAGGGAAAGGGACCCTGCCGACCATGGAGTCTCAGATGAGCTGTGCAGGATCTATGGTCTCGGGGTCACATACATGCTACACATTATTAAGGTGAAAAACGATATATGCCGTATTATCTTCATTTTAGATGTCAAAAGGGTTTTGTGGCTCCCGCTGTTTTCTGTGGGAAACGGGTCCAAATGGCTCTTTGAGTGTTTAAGGTTGCTGACCCCTGACCTAGAGGAAGCGTTCCTCAAAATGTGGGTGGTGCCAAAGGCTTTAACTACCTGCCTGCCGGCCGTTGTGCATACACGTCCTGTTATTCCCACCCACTCGTGCGCGGCGTGCGAAAGACATAATGTAAAAACGGTCAGCGATGCTATAGAGCCGGCGGATCGCTTGTATGGGATCCCGGTATGTGCGCCCCACGCGGTAAAAGCTTTTAAAGTGCCGCCTATGGCCAATTTTGGGCATGGTAATTTTTTGCAATTTCGCGGGCGCGCAATTTTTAAGCTTGACATGTTTGGTGTCTATTTACCCGACGTGACCCCGACTTTTATATTTTACCAAAAAAAGTGGGTGTATTAGTTGTTTTATAACATAATGTAAAAAAAAAACGTTTTTTTTCCAAAATTTTCAGTAATTTCTATTTCTCCTGAATATAGTAAAAAATCAAACCCCCCTCCCCCCACAGTGGTGATTAAATACCACCAAAAGAAAGCTCTGTGTGTCCCCAGAAATGGTATAAATGTCAGTCAAAGTACTGCAGCGCTGAAAAAAAATGGCCGGGACAGGAAGAGGAGGGGGACACCGCGGTCTTCAATCGGTTAAAGGAGAACTATGAGGGGGGAGGGGCTTGTCACTCACCTCATAGTTCTAGCCGACATGTGACAATGAGACTGTCACAGGTCGGCTCAGTAGATCGGGAGGTGAGGGAACGCATACCGGCGCTCGCTCACCTCTCGATCCTGTCACGGCTCTCTGCCGTGACAGGGGGAGGGGCTGGATTCCCCCCTCCCCGCTCCGATCCTCCAGCGCTGACTGGTGGAACGGACGGGGGAGGGGGCGGGTACAGCTGTCTCTGCCTCTAGATAGGCAGAGCCAGCTGTCACTCACGCAGCTGGGCGGATCCAGACAGTAATGTCGGGATCCGCTCCGGCTGCGGTGTCTCGGTATACCGCGAGCTGTAGCTCCCTATATACTGAGCCTAGGGTGACGGGAGGAGGCTAGTTTGTGTCCCCATGTGACCCTGAGGAGAACTATGGGGAAAAGCCCTGACCTCGGAGTTCTCCTTTAATGGTGTGTCAGGCATTGGCAGTCTGGACAAAACCCATGGCCCATGATCAAGAATCCATTACATTGGATCCTTCTGAGATGTTCGGAGATTTTGCCTGTGGCTCTCCACTGCACACCGCATCAGCTCGACTCGTCCTTCGGTTGGTCCGAATGCGCCGGTTCCTCTGGCTGAAAGATTGGTCGGCAGAACCGAGGCATGAAGAATACCTTGATTTGTTTGGGGGACGCCTTTCTCTGAGAATGGTGATCAGAGTAGCCACTTGCTCAGTCGGCGATTGCCTGAGGGCTCCTTCGGGTAAGTCTGCCGCGCCGATATCCTGGAAGAGCTCCTTTCTCTGACTGCCGCCCAATCAAAATCTGCCACTCGGCGCAGACACAGCGCCTGGCACTCCGCAGTCACCCACCTTCGCCTACTGATGGGGCACCCCCACTTTCACAAATGGGGGGATGCCTGTTGCCCTCTTGCAGTCATCGGCTTAAGCCATGCAGAATATTTTGGGCTCAATCTTGGTTGCGAGCCGCTCTTGTGTCGTGTCTTCCATTCTTCCCATCTCGTCCAGAGAGTAATTCAGAGGCTGGAGCTCCTCGGGCGAATTCTCAACCTGCAGAAGTTGGCGCTGGTTCCAACCCGACATCTGGAGTACCCGGGCCTTCTCCTTTGTTCTTGCGTGTGGATTACACGCCGAGGCTCCACTCGCGGTGAGATTCTGCCGGCCTCCTTCCAGGTGGTGCTCTAGGCTCGGTCTCACTTCAGACCTCCTCACCTGATCATCCTTGCCGAGTGGACCTCATCATAGCCTAGGCCAGTGGTGGCGAACCTTGGCACTCCAGCTGTGCCAAAACTACATATCCCAACATGCATCTGCCTCTGGGAGTGGGGCACCGGAGATAAAGAACGCGCTGGCTTACTGTGATCCGACTTCATTTCATGACTTTTATTGCTGTGGCGCATGTGTATAGGGCAATGCCGCGGAGGGCGCTGGTGCAGAAGAAGTTTTGTGTGCAAACCTCGTAGTTCTGAGGAAACCGGAAGTCATGCGGTCCCAGAACTCAATAAGTTTTTACAATGGACAGATCACCGGCCTTATGCATTCCTGGAGAGGAGATTTTGCGGGCAGATCTCATTCAGTAGGTGCTGGACTCTGGGGGAATGGGGGG